GTTACAGCTGTGACGTGAAACACAATTCTTTTTATGATTTGGTCAGGATGAATTTGACAACAACCTGGCTGTAAAGAGGGCACAGTTTTCTTAGCAACAAAAGCTCTGTTGGTTGCTACCAACAAAATGAATACTCCCGATCAATATGGCTCTTTTCAACCGATGCGAGGGGTGCTTCTGCTCGGACGGATAGAGATCTAGAGAAAACTAGAGGAATTTCTGTGATTGTTTTGAGATTCAAATGAAGCATTTGTTTTGAGAAGAGTTTTCATTGCATATTGTTTTAAGTTTTCTGTATCGTTAGAATTTTTTTCTGTTTTCTCACTTGTATATGCCACCGATTCTGCATTAATCAAATTACTCATTGCAACTTTTTTATGGGTCATTCTATAATTTCAGGGTCCAACTGTGTGACTTTTTGTGTCCCTGCTACACCCGACCTTTGTTATTTGACATGGAAATATCACGGAAATTGATTTCAAATTATTTCACTTGTTTGGCAGGTAATTTGCATTGATTTGTCATTCTTGGAAATCAAAAAATGTGTTATGAACTTACAGAAAAAATCATGTGAGATGTGACAGGGACACCAAAAAAAATCGGACCCGCAATTTATAGAATGACCCTGTTTAATTTTGGACGCTGCTTGATGAACCTTGAGACATGCTGACCTTTATCTTTGAAATAATGTTTCAATTTTGTTGCGGTATGGAAGTGAATATGCTGCTCATTAGTTGGACCTTTGTAGGTGAAATCAGTTGGACTGAATAGGTTCCAGTATCATCTAGCCAGAATATTGACTTTGGGACTTAGTGTACAAGGTGTAAATGACACAATAAACATGGAACTAGGAAAGAAGTGGAGATTTGTTCCAATAAAGTTGTCTTGTGTTGCTTGTGTTAACTGCGGAAATGTAGAGTGACTGTGGGTTAAGATGAAGTCCTCAAAGATTCAGACCTTACTTTGGTTTGTTGGACTTGGAACTAAATCACATCACACAGTATACTGGAACAGTAAAATTTATGAAATACAGCATCACTAGGAGCTTGCCTTTCGTCATGCTTTCATGAAATAATTGGAAGTTTCCTCTTTTTTTTTTCAAAATGTAAGGTGTACGCCTTCTCTCCTTTTTATGCTGATTGTTTGTTCAAACTAAAAAACTTCACTCCTAACTAACCCCTTGTCATCTTTTCTACCCAAATTTCACCCAAAATGCAAGACTAACCCCTTGTCATCTTTTCTACCCAAAATGCAAGACTAACCCCTTGTCATCTTTTCTACCCAAATTTCACCCAAAATGCAAGACTAACCCCATGTCATCTTTTTTACCCAAAATGCAAGACTAACCCTTTTGTCATCTTTTCTACCCAAAATGCAAGACTAACCCC